TCCCTCCCCCCACCTCCCTCCTCCTCTTCCACTCCCTGCTCTCCTCCTCTTCCTCCCTCCTCCCTCCTCTCCAGCCCCAACCCCTGCCCTCCTCCTGGCCAGAGAGCTCAGGTCAGCAGCCCCACACTTTCTCCTCCCTAAAAATATCCCTGTGTCCTCTGGCCTGACCCTGACATTAAGACTGGTTCTCGTGGTGTCCAGGAGGAGAACTCAGCCATCCCGCTCTGACAGCAGCCCTAGAGGCCCTGCCCTCCGGGAGCTTCGTTTTCCGAGGGGGACAAGGCCAGGGTGGGCTTAAGATCCTTAGCAGTGATCACAAGGTAGCCTTGCCCTGGTGACTGACCGGAGCCCCGCCACAAGATCCCGGCGTGACAGCAGGGGCCGTTCACGGTGTGACTGGAGTCACTTGACTGGGTGGGGGGCCAAGGGGAGGAATGACATGCTGTTACTCCTCCCTTTTACTGGTAAGTGGAAAAAGTATTCTTTTATTACATTTTCATTATTTTATTTTAATATGAGACAGAGTTTTACCCTTTCACTTAGGCTGGTGTGCAATGGCACCATCTCAGCTCACTGCAACCTCCGCCTCCTGGGTTCAAGCGATTCTCCTGCCTCAGCCTCCTGAAGTAGCTGGGACTTCGGGAGTGCTCCGCCGCACCCAGTTAATTTTTGTGTTTTTAGTAGAGACACCGTGTTTAATAGTTTCACCACGTTGGCCAGGCTGCACTCAAACTCCTGACCTCAGGTGATCTGCCTGCCTTGACCTCCCAAAGTCCAAAGTGCTGGCATTACAGCACCTTGTAAACCATCAGGCCTGGCCTACATTTTTTTTTGAGACAGAATCTTGCTCTGTTGCCAGGCTGGAGTGCAATGGCGTGATCTCAGCTCACTGCAACCTCCGCCTCCTGGGTTCAAGCGATTCTCCCGTCTCAGCCTCCTGAGTAGCTGGGATTACAGGCATCCGCCACTACGCCCGGCTAATTTTTGTATTTTTAGTAGAGACGGGGTTTCACCATGTTAGGCTAGTTTCGAACCCCAGACCTCAGGTGATCCGCCTGCATTGGCCTCCCAAAGTGCTTGGAATACAGATGTGAGCCACCATACCTGGCCTATATCTTTTAACTTTTTGAGACAGGGTCTCGCTCTGTGGCCCAGACTGGAGCGTGGTGGCGCGATCATGGCTCACTGTGGCCTCAACCTCTCAGACTTGAGCAGTGTTTCTGCTTCAGCCTCCCGAGTAGCTGAGACTACAGGTCCGCATCACCACGCCTCACTTTTTAATTTCTTGTAGAGATGGGGTCTTGCTATGTTGCCCAGGTTGGTCTTGAACTCCTGGCCTCAAATGATACTTCCCCTGCCTCGACCTCTCAGAGTGCTGGGATTACAGGCATGCGTCGCCTTTCCCACCTGGAAAATAATTTTTCTGATGCTTTTTTTTTTCAGACGGAGTTTCGCTCTCGTTGCCTAGGTTGGAGTGCAATGGCGTGATCTTGGCTCACTGCAACCTCCACCTCCTAGGTTCGAGAGCAATTCTCCAGCCTCAGCCTCCTGAATGGCTGGGACTACAGGCATGCGCCACCATGCCCTGCTAATTTTTGTATTTCTAGGAGAAACGGGGTTTCACCATGTTGGCCAGCATGGTCTCGATCTCTTGACCTTGTAATCTGCCTGCCTTGGCCTCCCAAAGTGCTGGGATTACATGCGTGAGTCACCAAGCCTGGCCCTAATTTTTAAGAGATGAGGTCTTGTTACATTGCCTAGGCGGGTCTTGAACCCCTGGCCTCAAGTGATCTTTCCTCCTTGGCATCCCCAAGTGCTGGGATTACAGGCTTAAGCCACCACACCTGGCCAATGATGTACTTTGTGAGCCTTTACAGAATTGTGAGCCTGGCCTTTACGAGCTCTTGCAAAATGGACTGGAAATCTTGGGATCTTCATGAGAAAAGCAGTCAGCAACAGAGTCTGTGGCTGTGTGGCGGGGTGGCTGTGTCTGTGGCCTGAGCTCCTCCCGGCGCTCAAGCAGGCACCCCTCAGAGCCCAACCCCTGGGCTTCACCTCTGACCCAGTTTCAGTGGCAAGAATTTCCTGGGAGCTTCTTGGTGGGGCACGTGGTCTAGGACCTCAGGTGACAGTGACTTGCTCAGATAAAGGCCCTGGCAGGGCGCCTCTGGGAGGGCTCCCTGTGCCAGTCCACCCTGGCGGGAAGGACACGGAGGACGCACGGGCTACAAATGCCTGCCAGACCCCAAGCAGTCTCAGGTCCCAGGGCGTTAATTAGCGACCCCATTGCTATAAGGTTTGTGATCCCATTTACGTAAAATGTCCAGGACTTGCCAATCCACAGGGGCAGGAAGGGGAGGACTGGGTGCCAGGGGCTGGGGTGGGTGGGTAGGGATGATTGTTGCTGCTAGGGACAGATTTGCTTTTGGGGTAATGGAATATTCTAGAATTTGATAGAGGTGGTCTTTGCCAAACATTGTGAAGGTAGGAAGTACGGAAGAATGTACTCTTAAAAAGGGTTAATTTTGGCTGGATGTGGTGCTCACACCTGTAATCCCAGCACTGTGGGAGGCCGAGGCGGGCAGATCACGAGGTCAAGAGATCAAGACCATCCTGGTCAACATGGTGAAACCCTGTCTCCACTAAAAATACAAAAATTAGCTGGGCGTGGTGGTGCACACCTGTAGTCCCAGCTACTCGGGAGACTGAGGCAGGAGAATTGCTTGAACCTGGGAGGTTGTGGTGAGCCGAGATTGCGCCATTACACTCCAGCCTGGGTAACAAGAGCGAAACTCCATCTCGAAAGAAAAGAAAAAAGGTTAATTTTAGCTGGGTGCGGTGGCTCACGCCTGTAATCCCAGCACAATGGGAGGCCGAGGCAGGCGGATCACCTGAGGTCAGGAGTTTAAGACTAGCCTGACAAACATGGAGAAACCCCAACTCTATTAAAAAATATAAAATTAGCCAGGTGTGGTGGCGTAGGCCTGTGATCCCACCTAGTAGGGAAGCTGAGGCAGGAGACTCACTTGAACCCGGGAGCCAGAGGTTTTGATGAGCCGAGATCATGCCATTACACTGGGCAACTTCATCTCAGAAAAAAAAAAAAAAAAAAAAAAGATTAATTTTGTGTTAAGTGACTTTCATCTTGATTTAATAAAAAAGTGTTTGTTTGCAGTGGCTCACAACTGTCATGCCGGTAGCTTAGGAGGCCAAGGTGGGAGGATCAGTTGAGGCCAGGAGTTCAAGACCAGTCTGGGCAATGTTGTGAGAACTTTGCCTCCTCGCCCACAACTGTTTCTACAAAAATTAAAAAAAAAAAATAGCTTGGGAGGCTGAGGCAGGAGGATCTCTTATTTCTTTTTTCCAGTCTAACCAGTATTTATTAATCATCTACTAGGTACTAGGAACTGTGCCCTGAACATTGAAGGCTCTGAACAATCTCAGGTCTCAACTTGTTTCAGTTTTTAAATTTTTAAATTACATTTTTAATGTATAATTTAGATACAGTAAGATGCACAGATCCTAAGTGTACAGTTTGATGAGTGTTTTAACTTTACTTCAGGTGTATTCTGTATCCAGCGTTTCTCCCCATGTTATTCCTCCGTGCCCTCCCCACCGGGCAGGAGGATCTCTTGCGCCCAGGAGGCTGAGGCTGCTCCAGCCTGCACTACAGAGGAAATCCCTGATTTTTTAAAAAACAAAAAAGGAGGACGGGCGCGGTGGCTCACGCCTGTAATCCCAGCACTTTGGGATGCCAAGGAGGGTGGATCACGAGGTCAAAAGATCGAGACCATCCTGGTCAACATGGTGAAACCCCGTCTCTACTAAAAATACAAAAATTAGCTGGGCATGGTGGTGCGTGCCTGTAATCCCAGCTACTCGGGAGGCTGAGGCAGGAGAATTGCCTGAACCCAGGAGGGGGAGGTTGCGGTGAGCCGAGATCGCGCCATTGCACTCCTGCCTGGGTAACAAGAGTGAAACTCTGTCTCCAAAAAAAAAAAAAAAATACAAAAAGGGCCGGGCACAATAGCTCACGCCTGTAATCCCAGCACTTCGGGAGGCCAAAGCAGGAGGATCACTTGAGGTGAGGAGTTTGAGACCAGCCTGACCAACACGGTGAAACCCCTTCTCTGCTTAACACAAAACTTAGCCAGATGTGGTGGCAGACGTCTGCAATTACAGCCCCTCGGGAGGCCGAGGCAGGAGAACCGCTTGAACCCAGGAGGGGGAGGTTGCAGTGAGCCGAGATCGCACCATTGCACTCCAGCCTGGGCGACAGAGACTCCGTCTCAAAAACAAAGAACAAACAAAAACTTAATAAAAAGAAAGTGACCAGGTGACGGAGCCCTTAATTTAGTCCTGGGTTTTTCTGAAACACTGATGACAGCTGATCTGGCCGCTGGGTCCTCTCCGGCTGCCCAGCTCTGTCTGCCCCAGGCCTTGTCCCCATGGGTCGTTCTGCTGGGGACACCCCTCCTTCCGCTGGCCTGGCTGATGGCTGATTGTGCGTTGTTCCTCTGATCATAAAGGCCCCTTCCTCCTGGTGCCATCAAGGCCCCAGGTCCCTGGGTTGAGCCCCTCCACTTGGGCTGGGAGTGGCATGAGGGACTAAACCCCCAGTGCCCCTAAATGAATGAAGGAGTGAATGAGTGAGGTTTTCTTTTCTTTTCTTTTTTGTTCTTTTGGAGACGGAGTCTCCCTCTTTCGCCCAGGCTGGAGTGCAGTGGCTCGATCTCGGCTCGCCACAACCTCCGCCCTCTGGGTTCCAGCAATTCTCCTGCCTCAGCCTCCCGAGTGGCTGGGATTACAGGTGTGCACCACCATGCCTGGCTAATTTCAGTATTTTTAATGGAGACGGGGTTCCGCCACGTTGGCCAAGCTAGTCTCAAACTCCTGACCTCAAGTGATCCACTCGCCTTCGCCTCCCAAAGCGCTGGGATTACAGGCGTGAGCCACTGCGCCCGGCCTGCCACTAGAATTGAAAAAAGAGCAAACCTCCCTTCTCGATGATGGTTTATTTATTCCACATAAAAATTCCCCCAAAGCTCATGGAGACGATGTGTTCCCATCACGACAGTCATCAATCCCAATCCTAATCTCATTTCTGTTCTGAAAAACCACAAAACTCGTCGTCGTCGGAGGGACGGGCGTGCTGACCGCGCTTGGGGAGGGTTTACGATGCATCCCATGTGTCACCAGAGGAAAATCCAACGTCCTTTTACGAGGAGGGTCAGGGTCCGTTGCATTTTGGCCAAAACCACGGCCCCCACCCTGATACAAATCCATCGCCAAGCTGATCTGTGAATGGGGTGGGGGCTGCCGCCCAGCTGGGAACGGCGGCCCCGGGTGTTCGAGCCTCATCACGCCTGCCAACAGCTGGCCTCACCGGGGGGCCTCTTTTGCTCTGGAGGGTCCACTGGGACTGGGTTGGGGTCTTCAGTTTCGCCTGCCTGTTGTCTGTGACTGCTGGTGATCCAAAGGGGTGGGTGGGCCACAGCCTAATGGGCGGTCCCCCAGAGTTTCTGGTGGGGGCAGAATGTTCAGCCGGCAGGCGCCTTCCGGGTCAGCTGGGCCTCCCTTGTCACTTGGTTGCTGCCGTAGACACTGGATGATTCGTTTTCTGATCGGGTGGAACGAGTTCCTTCCTGTCCCTGTCTCCTGTCTGTGACTTGGAAGAGGCCCCAGTCTTCCATGAAGATGGAGGTCCGGGAGTTCCAGTCACTGCGGAGGGGGGAAGGGTTCATGCGGAAGTCACATGCCTTGGGTCACCGGGGACAAATCGTGGCAGCCGGGCCTGGCTGGCATCGATCTGCTGGAGCCTCTCCCCTCAGGGCAGTCTGACAATCAGGCTTCTGTCACTGTTTTTTGTTTGTTTGTTTGTTTTGAGTCGGAGTCTTGCCCTGTCGCCCAGGCTGGAGTGCAGTGGCGCAGTCTCTGCTCAATGCAACCTCCACCTCCTGGGTTCAAGCAATTCTCCTGCCTCAGCCTGCAGAGTAGCTGGGACTGCAGGCACGTACCACCACACCTGGCTAATTTTTGTATTTTTAGTAGAGACGGGGTTTCGCCACGTTGGCCAGGCTGTTTTCGAACTCCTGACCTCAGGTGATCCACACGCCTCAGCCTCCCACAGTGCTGGGATGACAGGCGTGAGCCCCCTCGCCCTGCTGAGACTTGACATTTGGGAAACGCAAATGATAAAACCCTACCACGTCCCTACCATGTCCCAGCCTCCCCAGGGCAATGCTGAGACCCAGAGAGGTCCCGTCACAGCCAGTGGCTTCACGGCAAGCTGCAGGCCTACGCCCGCTCTCGACAGGAGCTGCTGGCATAGGACCCTGTCCCATGGGACAAGTCTTTCTGCATCGCTGCCCCTCAGCACTGAATGCCACCAGGTCCGTCCCATCCATCACTGGAATAACCCAAAATGCACTTCTTTGCTGTCCCAGGTCAAGATGCACTGGACGCTTTCACGGAGGCTCAGTTCACTGTGGGTCCGGTTGGCCCAGCCTGGACTCTCAGGCAGGAAGGAGGGCCTGGAGAATGTGCCCTTTTACTCGACGTCTGCTCAGATTGATAGACGGGAAGACGCCTAGGATTAGAGGGAGCCTCGTCAGCAACTCTGCAAACACCGTCCAGCCTTTTCTTTTCTTTTTTGGGACAGAGTTTCCCTCTTGTCACCCAGGCTGGAGAGCAGTGGCATGACTTTGGCTCACCACAACCGGTGCCTCCTGGGTTCAAGCAATTCTGCCTCAGCCTCCCAGGTAGCTGGGATTACAGGCGCGCACCACCACACCCGGCTAATTTTTGTATTTTTAGTAGAGACAGGGTTTCACCATGTTGGCCAGGCTGGTCTCGAACTCCTGACCTCAGGTGATCCACTCACCTCAGCCTCCCAAAGTGCTGGGATTACAGGTGTGAGTCACCACGGCCGGCCTATTTTTGTTTCGTTTTGTTTTGAGACAGAGTCTTGCTCTGTCCTCCAGGCTGGAGTGCGATGGCATGATCTTGGCTCACTGCAACCTCCACCTCTCAGGTTTAAGTGACTCTTGTGCCTCAGTCTCCCAAGTAGTTGAGATCACAGGCACTTGCCACCACGCCCGGCTAATTTTTGTATTTTTAGTAGAGATGAGGTTTCACCACGTTGGCCAGGGTGGTCTCGAACTCTTGACTTCAGGTGATCTGCCCACCTCAGCCTCCCAAAGTGCTGGGATTACAGGGGTGAGCCACCACTCCCAGCCCAGCCTTTTCTTGAATGCCTCCAGAGACAGGGAGCTCGCTGCTTCCGGAGCCCGTCTGACCGGGGACAGGCGTTTGGACCGCATTAGAAAAGTCTTGTCTTTTTTTTTTTTTTTCCAAGTGAAATTTACCTCCTGAAGAAGAACCCGCGGGTCCAAGCTTTGAATGCAGGTGGCTGCAGCCAGCACCCTGGACTTATCTTCCCGAGTGACTTCTGAAACACTCCGGTGTCTGATCCCCGTATCTTCCTTTTGCTAGGTCTGCCTGTTTCAGAGCTGGCTTCTGAGCCTCTTCTGTTCCAACCTGGAACAGTGTTGCTGTGTCCCAGCCCGATGCTGGGTCGGGGAAGCAGTGAGGTCAGCATCTGTCTCTCTCTCTCTCTCTTTTTTTTTTTTTTTTTTTTTGAGACAAGAGTCTTGTTCTTGTGGCCCAGGCTGGAATGCCATGGCACTATATCAGCTCACTGCAACCTCCACCTCGTGGGTTCAAGCGATGCTCCGGCCTCAGCCTGCTGAGTAGCTGGGATTGCAGGCGCCTGCCACCACGCCCCGCTAATTTTTGTATATTTAGTAGATACAGGGTTTCGCCCTGTTGGCCAGGCTGGTCTCGAACTCCTGACCTCGTGATCCACCTGTCTCGGCCTCCCGCAGTGCTGGGAATACAAGCGTGAGCCACGGTGCCCGGCCAAGGTCAGCGTGTCTCATTCCTCAGTGGGACGTATTGACTGGGTTTGCCCTGCGGCTTGGCGTCTGAATTAAAGGGGCTTGAGAATGCTCTAGATGACTGGGGCGTCATTTTGCAATCGTAGGACGAGGATGGCTGGCAGCGGCCCTTCTTGTGAATGGGCTCTGAGCGTCTCAAAGAGCTGGGTGTCATTATGAGCGAGGGTAGACAGGTTCAATGAAAAACCACTGACGTGAATTTTGGATATAAGGTCGGAGCCCAGGAGGGAGCCCAGGTGGTACCCCAGGACGTGACTCTCCTATGGGGGTTGAGTTTCCAGGTCCAGGGCCGCGTTCTGGGGGGAAAGGCACAGGAAAGGACGCAGACCCAGCTGGGGTGGCGGTGGGTGTCTGTGGCTCTACCCTGGAGCAGGTGACAAGCAAGAGAAGGGTCTTGAATCTTGTATCTGGCTCTGACCGCAGGGGCTGGGAGCAGGAGCGGAGGCACCCCCTGCACTTCTTGCTCTTCTTGGCCGTGAGTTCATAGGTGTGGGAAGCTGCGGCGCTCGGAGGTGGGCCCTTTTCTGGAACGCACAAATACTGCATCATTAAAAAAAAATACAATGTTTTCAAGCAGCGAAAAAGGACGCTGGGTTTCAGAGATGAACGGAGGGGCTGGCACCCTTGGAAGAATTGGGACTCAGGAGGAGGCAGGATGAGATCTGGGGCCAGTGGGCGTCTGACAGCGGTTTCCTGGCATCTGGAATCTTCTTCCATGTCCTTCGTTACGCTCATGTCACCTCAGGACATGCTGGGGGGAAGACACACAGGCCAAGTTATTACTGTTAATGTTAAAAATGCAAAATGCTGTTCCACACGTATGGGAGCTGAAAGAATGATCCCACCCGGTGTGGGTGAGCTCCTAGCAGCAAGAGCGGCACTTACCCCTCAGGACTAGGCTCTCGCCACCCCACTTTCTAAGTGTGGCTCTGAGGGCCTCCTTCCTGGTGCCCACAGGCCTGGAGACTTGTAACCTCAGTCAGCCCGGAGGGAGGCTTCAACCCATCCCTTCACCCACCCATCCACCCACTCACCTACTCATCTATCCACCCACCCACCCCCCCTCCCACCCCTCCATTCATCCATCTGCCCACCCATCCAGCCACTGACTCATCCATCCAACCACCCATCTACCCACCCACTCACCCAGCCGTCCAACCCACCCATCCGTCTGTCATCCATCTGTTCATCCACTCACCTGCCCACTCATCCATTCGTCCATCTGTCCATCCATTTACTCACCCATTTATCTACCCCACCATTTATCCAACCAACCATTCATCTACCCGTTCACCCATCCACCTGTTCATCCATCCATCTTTCCATCCCTCCACCCATCATCCATCCATCCATCCATCCATCCATTCACCCCATCATCCATCTCTCCTCCCATCCATCCACTCATCCATCCATCCTTCCACCCATCCATTTATCCATCCGTCCACCTATCCACTCATCCATTCATCTGTTGCTCCTTACAATTCCTTCTTTTGTGTTTTTAATCTTTGAAAACACGCTTATTCTGTCTTCTCCACCTAAGCATCTCCAGGCAGGATCCAGTTCTGCCGTTTGCTGTGTGCTGTCTTTTGCTCATGGTGGATGATTTCCTCGTGTTTGCTGTGTGTGTATGTGAACTCATCTCCAGGTGGGTTCACAGAGCGTGGGGTGAGGTGGTCTTTCAGAACTGCACATCGAGAACTCGCTTTTACTCAGCGCCCCGAAGCGGCACTGGTCTATGACCGTTTTTGATGTTTGTCTCTTAGCTTGGAGCTTCCTGGGTCACATGGGTAGTAAGGCATGCGGCCAGCCCGTGTCATAGATTTGGATGAGACTGTGCGGTCAAGGATAAATCCCACACATTCTAAAGTCTTGGAGCATCCCGCCGGGACTGTCTTTGTTTACCTGGGGACCTTGGGTCATGCCGGGTAGTCTGTGCTAACTGGTGTGGTTGGGCTGTGTCCTTACCCGGAGCTCGTCTTGGATTGTAGTTCCCATAATACCCACGTGTTGTGGGAGGGACCCAGTGGGAGGTGAGTAAATCATGGGGGTGGTTTTTGAGATGGAGTCTCATTCTGTCGCCAGGCTGGAGTGCAGTGGCACGATCTCGGCTCACTGCGACTTCTGCCTCCCGGGTTCACGTGATTCTCCTGCCTCAGCCTCCCAAGTAGCTGGGACTACAGGTGCCCGCCACCGTACCCAGCTAATTTTTTGTATTTTTAGTAGAGACGGAGTTTCACTGTGTAAGCCAGGATAGTCTCGATCTCCTGACCTCGTGAGCCACCGCGCCCGGCCAAGATCTGGTGCTTTTCTAAGGGTCTTTTCCACTTTGCTCAGAGCTTCTCTCTTCTGCTGCCCTGTGAAGAGGTGTCTTGTGCCATGATTGTAAGTTTCCTGGGGCCTCCCAGCCATGCAGAACTGTGAGTCAATGAAACCTGTTTTCTCTTTAAATTACCCAGTCTCCGGTTTTTCTTCATAGCAGCATGAGAACGGATTAATATACTCACAATGTGACTTAGGGTGGGACGTGGGCCACGTGGGACCAGCTCGATCTGTGGAGGGGCTGGAGGCTAAGGGCGGCTATGAAGACGGTCAGCCAGGTGCATGTCGTTGACTCTCCGTGAACACCCTAGCCGCTATGTTAGTCTCTAACTAACAGCACGTTGTGTTTGGCCACACAGTCCCACTGGGAGAGGACACTTGGCAGCTTCGGCCCGGTCTCTCCTGGATCCTTATCTATGCACCTCTTCCTTTTGTTGATTTTTTTTTGGAGACAGAGTCTCGCTCCGTCGCCAGGCAGCAGGCTGGAGTGCAATGGCCCCATCTCGGCTCACTACAATCTCCGTCTCCTGGGTTCAAGCGATTCTCCTGCCTCAGCCTCCTGAGTAGCTGGGATTACAGGCCCGCGCCACCACGCCCGGTTAATTTTTGTGTTTTTTAGTAGAGACGGGGTTTCACCATGTTGGCCAGGATGGTCTCGGTCTCTTGACCTCGTGATCTGCCTGCCTTGGCCTCCCAAAATGCTGTGCCCGGCCACAGGGTGGCTTTTCCTGGCATCCACAACCAAGTGGAGGATCTGAGGTGGATCATGGACAATCCACCATTCCGTGGGGTCACATCCTGGGCTTCAGGGAGCCTGGCTCTGAGCCAGTTTTTCCTTTAGGGGCGTCTACTGCATAGCTCTGCGGCATCGTTTGTGTCCTGGTTTTATGTCATGGCGCCCCCTGGAGTTGTGCAGGATGGCCTGACTGGTTAAGGGAACACACCTCCCTGCCTCCCCTGTGCCGTATCCCCCACTCGCAATAAGTCATGGGCCAGTTTTCCTGGGCTTAGGCTCTCTGCCTGCTTTGTATTCGCCGGCGGCTGATTCTGTTTTCCGTCCCTCTTGAGAACCCCAACCGATACAGGCTCCATGTGGGAGAGCCTGAAAACAGCACCAAGACCCCCCTGCCCCACACCCACCTTGTTTCCTGATCTTCTTCTGTGACTGGAGCAGACCTGTGGAGGACAGATGGAGACGGGGCATTATTTGCCTATTTTGGGGAGCCTGGAAATTTTCCTTTTCTTCCTTTAACTTACTATATTTTTAAGATACAGGGTCCATTAAATGAAAGTTTCCAGGAAAAGAAATTTAAAATTAAAAAATAAAGAGTAATAATAAGATACAGGGTCTTGGAGGACGGTGGCTCACGCCCGTTATCCCAGCACTTTGGGAGGCTGAGGCGGGCGGATCACCTGAAGTCAAGAGTTTGAGACCAGCCTTGCCAACATGGCGAAACCACATCTCTACTAAAAATACAAAAATTAACTAGGCGTGGTGGCAGGTGCCTGTAGTCCCAGCTACTTGGGAGGCTGAGGCAGGAGAATCACTCGTACCCGGGAGGCGGAGGTTGCGGTGAGCGGGATCACGCCCCTGCACTCCAGTCCCTGGGCGACCAGAGTGAAACTCTGTCTCAAAACAAGTAAATAAATATATAAAAGATACAGGGTTTGTTATGTTGCCCAGGCTGGAGTGCATGGTGGGACGGTGGCTCACTGCAGCCTCCAGCTCCAGGGCTCAGGTGAGCCTCCCATCTCAGCCTCCCGAGTAGCTGGGACTCCAGGTACACACCATCATGCCTGGCTGATTTTTAAATTGTTTGTATCTCACTGTGTCACCCAAGCTGGTCTCGAACTCCTGGCCTCAGATGGTCCTCCTGCTCTGGCCTCCCAGAGTGCTGGGACTATAGGCGTGAACCACAGTGCCCACTCTTGGGCATTTTCTGCTTGTGGATGGAGGCTGTAAGCCGCATGAGGACCAGCACGGCTGTCTCGGGTAGAAAACAGAAGTCAGCCTGCATCTGCTGCGTAACAAATGAGCCTGAACAGACGGTTTTGAGGAGCTTGGCCAAAGTCTTTCACGAACACAAAATGAAAGCAGTCATATTGCTGAGGGTCTGCTGGACTTGGGGAGTCTGAATCTACCTGCCGGGACTTGGACACAGGTCACCTTTCATCACTATGATAACGTTGAGATTACCATAATATGAGAACATCAGGATAAGTTTTTTTTTTTTTTTTGAGACAGGGTCTTGCTCTGTTGCCCAGGCTGGAGTGCAGTCAGAGCTCACTGGTCTCCAGACATCTGCCTGCCTCACCCTTCTGAGTAGCTGGGACCACAGGTGTATATCACCATACCTGGATAATTTTTTTTTTTTTTTTTTGAGACGGAGCCTTGATCTTTTGCCAGGCTGGAATGCAGTGGCGCGATCTCGGCTCACTGAAACCTTCGCCTCCCGGGTTCAAGCAATTCTCCTGCCTCAGCCTCCTGAGTACCTGGGACTACAGGCATGCACCATCGTGCCCAGTTAATTTTTTTTTTTTGAGACAGAGTCTCGCACTGTCACCCAGGCTGTAGTGCAGTGGTGCGATCTCGGCTCACTGCAATCTCGACCGCCTGGGCTCAAGCAATTCTCCTGCCTCAGCCTCAGGATTAGCTGGGATTACAGGCACGCGCCACCACGCCCAGCTAATTTTTTTGTATTTTTAGGAGAGACGGGGTTTCACCATGTTGGCCAGGATGGTCTCGATCTCCTGACCTCGTGATCTGCCAGCCCTGGCCTCCCAAAGTGATTGGATTACAGGCTTGAGCAACCATGCCCGGCCTTTTTTTTTTTTTTTTGAGATGCAGTTTCACTCTTGTTGCCCAGGCTGGAGTGCAGTGGCATAGTCTTGGCTCACTGCAACCTCCGCCTCTCCAGTTCAAGCGATTCTCCTGCCTCAGCCTCCCAAGTAGCTGGGACTACAGGCATGCGCCACCACGTCCAGCTGGTTTTGTATTTTTAGTAGAGATGGGGTTCTCCATGTTGGTCAGGCTGGTCTCAAACTCCCGACCTCAAGTGATCTGCCTGCCTTGGCTTCCCAAAGTGTTGAGATTAAAGGTGTGAGCCACCGCACCCGGCCGATTTTGTATTTTTAGTAGAGATGGGGTTTCACCATATTGGCCAGGATGGTCTCCATCTCTTGACCTCGTGATCCACCCACCTCAGCCTCCCAAAGTGCTGAGATTACAGGCGTGAGCCACCGCGCCCGGTCCATACCTGGATAATTTTTATTTTTACGTTATGTTATTTATTTATTTGAGATGGAGTCTCACTTCTGTGTCGTGGGCTACTGCAACATCTGCCTCCCAGGTTCAAGTGAATCTCCGGCTTCAGCTTCCCAAGTAGTTGGGATGGGATTACAGATGTGTGACACCACGCCCGGCTAATTTTTGTATTTTTAGTAGAGATGAGATTTCGCCATGCTGGCCTGGCTGGTCTCGAACTACTGACCTCATGTGATTCGCCCGCTTCAGCCTCCCAAAATGCTGGGATTATAAGTGTGAGTCACTGTTCACACTTATAATCCCACTTAATTCAATTTTCTGTTCCTGAGTGAGGGCCCTCCCTCCTCCCCAGCCTCCCCCAAGGGACTAGGCAGCCTCCCATGGCTGCCAGCTCTCCGCCCCTGGTCTCCTGCATACCTACCTGTTTTCCACTGGGGCCTCCTCTGGCTTCTCTTCACACCTGGGCAGCAGGAACTCCGGCTGGGGCCTTGTGCTGTGGACAGAGAGAACAAGGTGACAAGGGCGACTGGCTGGGCCAGGCCAAGGGGCTCTCAGCTGCCACCGGCCTCTCTGCTTTCCTGTCCCTGGAACCTGTTTTCCAAACCAGTGAGACGTTCCCCACCGTTGCTATTTGAGAAAACTTCTGGGACCAAGACTCTGTCTTATTTGCCTCTGTTTCCCCACCTGGCAGGATGAAGCCCGTTCTTTTGTTTGTTTTGTTAGATAGGGTCTTGCTCTGTTGCTCAGGCTGGAGTGCAGCCGTGCAGTCATGGCTCACTGCAGCCTCGGCTTCCTGGGATCAAACCATCTCCTGGATTCAGTCTCCCCCCGCGTGTTGGGTGCATGCCAGCACAACTGGCTAACTTTGTTTTTTTTTGAGATGGAGTCTCGCCCTGTCGCCCAGGCTTGAGTGCAGTGGTGCCATCTCGGCTCACTGCAGCCTCCGCCTCCCGGGTTCAAGTGATTCTCCTGCCTCAGCCTCCCAAGTAGTTGGGCCTACAGGCGTGCACCACCACCCCCAGCTAATTTTTGTATTTTTGGTAAAGATAGGGTTTCTCCATGTTGCCCAGGCTGGTCCCAAACTCCTGACCTCAGGTGATCCTCCTGTCCTGGCCTCCCAAAGTGCTGGGATTACAGGCGTGAGCTCCCGAGCCCGGCCTGACTCTTATGCTTTGTGGAGCCTGAAGTACATGCTCATTCTTTCTGCCAAGGGTCCATCATCTTCCACAATAACCTCCAAGGCAGTTGTTAGCTTTTTTTTTTGAGTCGGAGTTTCGCTCCTGTTACCCAGGCTGGAGTGCAATGGCGCGATCTCGGCTCACCGCAACCTCCGCCTCCTGGGTTCAGGCAATTCTCCTGCCTCAGCCTCCCGAGTAGCTGGGATTACAGGCACGCGCCACCATGCCCAGCTAATTTTTTGTATTTTTAGTAGAGACGGGGTTTCACCATGTTGACCAGGATGGTCTCGATCTCTTGACCTCGTGATCCACCCGCCTCGGCCTCCCAAAGTGCTGGGATTACAGGCGTGAGCCACCGCGCCCGGCCAGTTGTTAACTTTTTATTTGCTTAATGTCACTCTGTAGCTGAACGTGGGAGCCGGGATTTGAATGCAGGTCTGAGTTTAATGTCCTTGGCAGAAGGGCAGCGTCTTGAGCCCTGCCAGGGACAGTGGTCCCTGCTCAGCGGAAGTCGCCAGGTTGCCCCAACCAAGAGGCAGGCTCAGCCCTGTTGCCCCGACCCAGCCCCAGCAGAGGCCACTCGGCACATACCTCTCCCTCCTGGCCTTCAGTCTTTCCTCTTCGTATCTGAAAGAAAGAAAAAGACGTCAGACGCAACCTTCCTTTCCCCTGAGATACACTTTCTGGGGGAATTCCCTTCCCTTTTCCTTTTTATTTTATTTATTTATTTGAGATGGAGTCTCACTCTGTCACCCAGGCTGGAGTGCAGTGGTGCGATCTTGGCTCACTGCAACCTCCGCTTCCCAGGTTCAAGCGATTCTCTGCCACAGCTTCCCCGAGTAGCTGGCGTGCACCATCATGCCTGGCTAATTTTTTTTTTTTTAAATTTTCTGTAGAGATGGGGTTTCCCTATCTTGGCCAGGCTGATCTTGAACTCCTGACCTCATGATTTACCCACCGAGGCCTCCCAAAGTGTTGGGATTACAGGCGTGAGCCACTGTACGTGGTATTCTTTTCCCTTATCAAGCAGAGAAACAAGCTCTCTTTTTTCCGTCTTTTCTCTCTCTCTCTTTTTAGACAGGATCTCATTCTGTCATACTCCAGGTTGGAGTGCGGAGGCGCAATCTCACCCGTAGCCTCCAACTCCTGGGCCCAAGCAATCCTCTGGCCTCAGCTTCCCAAAGTGCTGGGATTAAGGGTGTCAGCCACCGCACCTGGCCCACAGATGCATTTTTGATTATAAATGTTTGTGTCAGCTGGGCATGGTGGCTTGGACCTCTAATCCCAGAAATTTGGGGGGCGGAGGTGGGCAGATCACCTGAGCTCAGGAGTTCGAGACCAGCCTGGCCAATGTAGTGAAACCCCATCTCTACTAAAAATACAAAAAAGTAGCTGGGCGTGGTGGCGCACACCTGTAGTGCCAGCTCCTCCAGCGGCTGAGGCAGGAGAATGGCTTGAACCTGGGAGGCAGAGGTTGCAGTGAGCCGAGATAGCGCCATTGCACTCCAGCCTCAGTGACAGAGTGAGACTCCATCTCACAAAAGAAAAAAATTATTCAGCCATGAAAAGGAAGGAAATTCTGACACTGGCTACAGGGTGGATGCACCTTATACACCTTGAGGACACCACACTCAGTGAGAGACGTCAGACACAAAAAACAAATCCTGCGTGGTTCCACTCCCAGGAGGTCCCTAGAGCTGTCAGATTCCCAGTGCACAGACAGCATCTGCAGAGACAGAAAGTAGGATGGGGGGTGCCAGGGCCTGGGGAGTGAGTGTTTCATGGGGACAGAGTTTCAGTTTGAGAAGATGAGAAGGTTCTGGAGAGGGCCAGGCACAGTGGCTCATGCCTGTAATCCCAGCACTTTGGGAGCTTGGGGTAGGTGGATCACCTAAGGTCAGGAGTTTGAGACCAGCCTGGTCAACATGGTGAAACCCCGTCTCTACTAAAAATACAAAAAAATTAGCTGGGCACGGTGGCGCGTGCCTGTAGTCCCAGCTACTCGGGAGACTGAGGCAGGAGAATTGCCTGAACCCAGGAGGCGGAGGTAGCGGTGAGCCAAGGTCGCGCCATTGCACTCCAGCCTGGGTAACGAGTGAAACTCCGTCTCAAAAAAAAAAAAAAAAAAAAAAAAGAACAGGACTTGATGCTGTTCATCCTTCCTTCCCCAAGCTCCAGGTGGTCCCTGAGGGGCCCCAGGAAAGAAAATGGGTGTGTTCTAGTGCCCCTGTTCCAAGTCTGTGTTTCCCTTCTTTGCTGGCTCCTGGCAGCCAAGGGGACCAGGTTGTTGGGAGGGTTGGGGGTAATATGGTTTGGGTGTGTCTCCACCCAAAATTTTTTTTTTTTTTTGAAACGGAGTCTTGCTCTGTTGCCAGGCTGGAATGCAGTGACGTGATCTTGGGTCACTTCAATCTCTCCCTCCCGGGTTCAAGCAACTCCCCTGCCTCAGCCTCCTGAGTAGCTGGGATCACAAGCGTCCGCCACGACACCAAGCTAATTTTTTGTATTTTATTAGAGACTGGGTTGCACCGTTGGTTAGGATGGTCTGGCTCTCCTGACCTTGTGATCCACCCGCCTTGGCCTCCCAAAGTGCTGGGATTACAGGCCTGAGCCACTGTGCCCGGCCTTCTACCCAATTCTTTTTTTTTTTGAGACGGAGTTTCGCTCTTGTTACCCAGGCTGGAGTGCAATGGTGCCATCTCGGCTCACCGCAACCTCTGCCTCCTGGGTTCAGGCAATTCTGCCTCAGCCTCCCGAGTAGCTGGGATTACAGGCACGCGCCACCATGCCCAGCTAATTTTTTGTATTTTTAGTAGAGACAGGGTTTCACCATGTTGACCAGGATGGTCTCGATCTCCTGACCTCATGATCCACCCGCCTCGGTCTCCCAAAGTGCTGGGATTACAGGCTTGAGCCACCGCGCCCAGCCCCTTCTACCCAATTCTTATCTTCAATTGTATCCACCACAATTCCCACGTGTTGTGGGCGGGACCTGGTGGGAGGTCATTGAATCGTGGGGGCGGGTCTTTCTTGTGCTAGTCTCGTGATAGTGAGTAAGTCTCACGAGATCTGATGGCTTTAAAAAGGGGAATTTCCGGTCCCAACTTTCCTTCTCTTGTTGGCAGCCATGGGAGACGTGCCTTTTGCTTTCCGCTATGATCGTGAAGCCTCCCCAGCCACGTGGAATTGTGAGTCCCTGAAACCTCTTTCGTAAATTGCCCTGTCTCAGGTATGTCTTTATCAGCAGCCCGAGAACGGGCGAATCTGGCGGGGAGGGGTGCGGGGCCACTCACTGCAAGACGCAGTCTGGGATCTGGACGTGTTCCATGGGGATGAGCTGTTCCAGGTCTTCCAAGCTGTGCACGTACTGGATCTTGTTGATGAACTTGACGCTGGCAGTGGGAGAAGGAGGGAGAGGTCTGAAAAGCAGCCCGTGGGTTGGGGGTGGGGGTTACCCAGGTCCAGACGGAGCCGTGGCGACAGGGATGCCCACAGGACCTCACTCCAGGATGCCCCAGTGCAGACGGCCTCATCTCCCTCCCACCCAATGCCAGCCTAATTCTCCTGCACCTGTGGGTGGGGTGGAGACCCCGGCTCTGCCCCGAAGCCTTTACAAGAAGGGCGGTGCACCTGACATGGGTCCCTGCAGTGACGATCTGGTTGGAAGGACGTCAGGAGGGGAGGAGATATTCTCCTGCCTCAGCTTCCCGAGTAGCTGGGATTACAGGTGCCCGCTACCATGCCCGGCTAATTTTTTATATATTTAGTAGAGACGGGGTTTCACTATGTTGGTCAGGCCAGTCTTGAACTCCTGACCTCAGGCAATCCACCGGCCTCTGCCTCCGAAAGTGCTGGGATTACAGGCATGAGCCACCGCACCCGGCCTGTTGGTTTTTTTGTTGAGACAGAGTCTTGCTCTCTCACCCAGGCTGGAGTGCAGTAGTGCAGTCTCAGCTCACTCCAACCTCCCCTTCCTGGGATCAAGTGATTTTCCCTGCCTCAGTCTCCGGAATAGCTGGGATTACAGGCATGCACCACCACTCCCGGCTAATTTTGTATTTTTAGTGGAGATGGAGTTTCACCATGTTGGCCAGACTGGTCTTGAAGTCCTGACCTCAAGTGATCTGCCCACCTCGACCTCTCAAAGTGCTGGGATTTACAGGTGTGACCCACCACGCCTGGCCTCATCCCATGTTAGCCAGGCTGGTCTTGAACTCCTGACCTCAAGTGATCTGCCTGCTTTGGCCTCCCAAAATGCTAGGATTACAGGCGTGAGTCACCACACCCGGCTGTATTTCTTTCTTTTTTTTTTTTTTTTGTAGAGACAGGGTCTCATTGTGTTGCCCAGGCTGGTCTTACACTCCTGGGCTCAAGCGATCCTCTCCTCTTGATCTTCCAAACTGTTGGGATTACAGGTGTGAGCTGGGGCGCCGGGTGAAGGGGGACGGAATTATTGGGTTGGTGCAAAAGGAATTGTGGTTTTTGTACTGAAAAGTATGGCAAGAACCTCGATTCCTTTTGTACCATCCTAACAGCTGCATTAGAGGCCAAGGTGATCTGTGCTACTGAATCCTGCAACATGGAGGAGAAAATGCGAGACTCTTAGACTGAAATGCGAGACTCTTAGACTGAAATGCGAGACCCTTAGACTGAAATGCGAGACTCTCTTAGACTGAAATGCGAGACTCTTAGACTGAAATGCGAGACTCTTAGACTGAAATGCGAGACTCTCTTAGACTGAAATGCGAGACTCTTAGACTGAAATGCGAGACTCTTAGACTGAAATGCGAGACCCTCAGACTGAAATGCGAGACCCTCAGACTGAAATGCGAGACCCTTAGACTGAAATGCGAGACCCTTAGACTGAAATGTGAGACCCTTAGACTGAAATGCGAGACTCTCTTAGACTGAAATGCGAGACCCTCAGACTGAAATGCGAGACCCTTAGACTGAAATGCGAGACTCTCTTAGACTGAAATGCGAGACCCTCAGACTGAAATGCGAGACCCTCAGACTGAAATGCGAGACCCTCAGACTGAAATGCGAGACTCTCTTAGACTGAAATGCGAGACCCTCAGACTGAAATGCGAGACCCTCAGACTGAAATGCGAGACCCTTAGACTGAAATGTGAGACCCTTAGACTGAAATGCGAGACTCTCTTAGACTGAAATGCGAGACCCTCAGACTGAAATGCGAGACCCTTAGACTGAAATGCGAGACTCTCTTAGACTGAAATGCGAGACCCTCAGACTGAAATGCGAGACCCTCAGACTGAAATGCGAGACCCTCAGACTGAAATGCGAGACTCTCTTAGACTGAAATGCGAGACTCTCTTAGACTGAAATGCGAGACCCTCAGACTGAAATGCGAGACCCTCAGACTGAAATGCGAGACCCTCAGACTGAAATGCGAGACCCTCAGACTGAAATGCGAGACTCTCTTAGACTGAAATGCGAGACTCTCTTAGACTGAAATGCGAGACCCTCAGACTGAAATGCGAGACCCTCAGACTGAAATGTGAGACCCTCAGACTGAAATGCGAGACCCTCTTAGACTGAAATGCGAGACCCTCTTAGACTGAAATGCGAGACCCTCTTAGACTGAAATGCGAGACCCTCAGACTGAAATGCGAGACCCTCAGACTGAAATGCGAGACCCTCAGACTGAAATGCGAGACCCTCAGACTGAAATGCGAGACTCTCTTAGACTGAAATGCGAGACTCTCTTAGACTGAAATGCGAGACCCTCAGACTGAAATGCGAGACCCTCAGACTGAAATGCGAGACTCTCTTAGACTGAAATGCGAGACCCTCAGACTGAAATGCGAGACCCTCAGACTGAAATGCGAGACCCTCAGACTGAAATGCGAGACTCTCTTAGACTGAAATGCGAGACCCTCAGACTGAAATGCGAGACCCTCAGACTGAAATGCGAGACTCTCTTAGACTGAAATGCGAGACTCTCTTAGACTGAAATGCGAGACCCTCAGACTGAAATGCGAGACCCTCAGACTGAAATGCGAGACCCTCAGACTGAAATGCGAGACTCTCTTAGACTGAAATGCGAGACTCTCTTAGACTGAAATGCGAGACCCTCAGACTGAAATGCGAGACCCTCAGACTGAAATGCGAGACTCTCTTAGACTGAAATGCGAGACTCTCTTAGACTGAAATGCGAGACCCTCAGACTGAAATGCGAGACCCTCAGACTGAAATGCGAGACCCTTAGACTGAAATGTGAGACCCTTAGACTGAAATGCGAGACTCTCTTAGACTGAAATGCGAGACCCTCAGACTGAAATGCGAGACCCTTAGACTGAAATGCGAGACTCTCTTAGACTGAAATGCGAGACCCTCAGACTGAAATGCGAGACCCTCAGACTGAAATGCGAGACCCTCAGACTGAAATGCGAGACTCTCTTAGACTGAAATGCGAGACTCTCTTAGACTGAAATGCGAGACCCTCAGACTGAAATGCGAGACCCTCAGACTGAAATGCGAGACCCTCAGACTGAAATGCGAGACCCTCAGACTGAAATGCGAGACACTCTTAGACTGAAATGCGAGACTCTCTTAGACTGAAATGCGAGACCCTCAGACTGAAATGCGAGACCCTCAGACTGAAATGTGAGACCCTCAGACTGAAATGCGAGACCCTCTTAGACTGAAATGCGAGACCCTCTTAGACTGAAATGCGAGACCCTCTTAGACTGAAATGCGAGACCCTCAGACTGAAATGCGAGACCCTCAGACTGAAATGCGAGACCCTCAGACTGAAATGCGAGACACTCAGACTGAAATGCGAGACTCTCTTAGACTGAAATGCGAGACTCTCTTAGACTGAAATGCGAGACCCTCAGACTGAAATGCGAGACCCTCAGACTGAAATGCGAGACTCTCTTAGACTGAAATGCGAGACCCTCAGACTGAAATGCGAGACCCTCAGACTGAATGCGAGACCCTCAGACTGAAATGCGAGACTCTCTTAGACTGAAATGCGAGACCCTCAGACTGAAATGCGAGACCCTCAGACTGAAATGCGAGACTCTCTTAGACTGAAATGCGAGACTCTCTTAGACTGAAATGCGAGACCCTCAGACTGAAATGCGAGACCCTCAGACTGAAATGCGAGACCCTCAGACTGAAATGCGAGACTCTCTTAGACTGAAATGCGAGACTCTCTTAGACTGAAATGCGAGACCCTCAGACTGAAATGCGAGACCCTCAGACTGAAATGCGAGACCCTCAGACTGAAATGCGAGACCCTTAGACTGAAATGCGAGACTCTCTTAGACTGAAATGCGAGACTCTCTTAGACTGAAATGCGAGACACTCAGACTGAAATGCGAGACACTCAGACTGAAATGCGAGACACTCAGACTGAAATGCGAGACACTCTTAGACTGAAATGCGAGACTCTCTTAGACTGAAATGCGAGACTCTCAGACTGAAATGCGAGACCCTCAGACTGAAATGCGAGACCCTCAGACTGAAATGCGAGACCCTCAGACTGAAATGCGAGACCCTCAGACTGAAATGCGAGACCCTCAGACTGAAATGCGACACTCTTAGACTGAAATGCGAGACCCTCAGACTGAAATGCGAGACCCTTAGACTGAAATGCGAGACTCTTAGACTGAAATGCGAGACCCTTAGACTGAAATGCGAGACTCTTAGACTGAAATGCGAGACTCTCTTAGACTGAAATGCGAGACTCTTAGACTGAAATGCGAGACTCTCTTAGACTGAAATGCGAGACTCTTAGACTGAAATGCGAGACTCTTAGACTGAAATGCGACACTCAGACTGAAATGCGAGACCCTCAGACTGAAATGCGAGACTCTCTTAGACTGAAATGCGAGACCCTCAGACTGAAATGCGAGACCCTCAGACTGAAATGCGAGACTCTCTTAGACTGAAATGCGAGACCCTCAGACTGAAATGCGAGACTCTCTTAGACTGAAATGCGAGACCCTCAGACTGAAATGCGAGACCCTCAGACTGAAATGCGAGACTCTCTTAGACTGAAATGCGAGACCCTCAGACTGAAATGCGAGACCCTCAGACTGAAATGCGAGACCCTCAGACTGAAATGCGAGACCCTTAGACTGAAATGCGAGACCCTTAGACTGAAATGCGAGACTCTCAGACTGAAATGCGAGACCCTTAGACTGAAATGCGAGACCCTTAGACTGAAATGCGACACTCTTAGACTGAAATGCGACACTCTTAGACTGAAATGCGACACTCTTAGACTGAAATGCGAGACCCTCAGACTGAAATGCGACAGTCTTAGACTGAAATGCGACACTCTTAGACTGAAATGCGAGACTCTCTTAGACTGAAATGCGAGACTCTCTTAGACTGAAATGCGAGACTCTTAGACTGAAATGCGAGACTCTTAGACTGAAATGCGACACTCAGACTGAAATGCGAGACCCTCAGACTGAAATGCGAGACCCTCAGACTGAAATGCGAGACTCTCTTAGACTGAAATGCGAGACCCTCAGACTGAAATGTGAGACCCTCAGACTGAAATGCGAGACCCTCAGACTGAAATGCGAGACTCTCTTAGACTGAAATGCGAGACCCTCAGACTGAAATGCGAGACCCTCAGACTGAAATGCGAGACCCTCAGACTGAAATGCGAGACTCTCTTAGACTGAAATGCGAGACCCTTAGACTGAAATGCGAGACTCTTAGACTGAAATGCGAGACCCTTAGACTGAAATGCGAGACCCTTAGACTGAAATGCGAGACTCTTAGACTGAAATGCGAGACCCTTAGACTGAAATGCGAGACTCAGACTGAAATGCGAGACTCTTAGACTGAAATGCGAGACTCTTAGACTGAAATGCGAGACTCTTAGACTGAAATGCGCGTTTCCCGTTTTGCCCATGTGATTCATTATTAGCTCAAATGATATATAATTATCTTTCTCTTCATCTCATTTCACTAATATGTAAATAACCCCTTCAGGGTACTCGGGAGTCCTTGAAAACAGCAGGTCGAAAGTGTCTTCCTTGAAAATCATGCCTGGTGTGAATGTGAACTGTCATTGAAGGGAAAGTGAAGCCCTCGTCTCTCACCATCCCGGATTTTAACTGGGAATCTGAAAATTAGGGATCTTTATTTAATTCAATGTTTTGTGTTAGATTAAATTAAATTTGTATGACATTTTATTGGATTGAATACGGCATGGGCCAGGCATGGTGGCTCACACCTGTAATCCCAGCACTTTGGGAGGCCGAGGCGGGTGGATCACGAGGTCAAGAGATCGAGACCATCCTGGTCAACATGGTGAAACCCCGTCTCTACTAAAAATACAAAAAATTAGCTGGGCATGGTGGCACGTGCCTGTAATCCCAGCTACTCAGGAGGCTGAGGCAGGAGAATTGCCTGAACCCAGGAGGCGGAGGTTGCGGTGAGCCGAGATGGCGCCATTGCACTCCAGCCTGGGTAAGGAGCGAAACTCCGTCTCAAAAAAAAAAAAAAAAAAAAAAAAGAATAGGGCATTTAACATGCCTTTCTTTCTTTTTCTTTTCTTTTTTCTTTTTTTTTAAGATGGAGTCTTACTCTGTCACCCAGGCTAGAATGTAGTGGAGCACTCTCCGCTCACCGCAACCTCTGCCTCCGGGTTCAAGCAATTCCCCTGCCTCAGCCTCCTGAGTAGCCGGGATTACAGGCACATGCCACCATGCCCAGCTGGATTTTGCATTTTTAGTAGAGATGGGTTTTACCATGTTGGTCAGGGTGGTCTCAAACTGCTGACCTCGTGATCCACCTGCCTTGGCCTCCCAAAGTGCTGGGATTACAGGCGTGAGCCACCGCACCCGGCCTCTATATTTTATTTTTAGAGACAGGGTCTTGCTCTGTTTCCCAGGCTGGAGTGCAATGAAGTGCCATAGCTCACTGCAGCCCTGACCTCTTGGCTCAAGTGATCCTCCTGCCTCAGCCTTCTGAGTAGCTGGGACTACACGTGTGTGCTGCCATGCATAGCCGATTTTTTTGTTTTCTTTTTTCTTGGCCGGAGCTGGGCTGGGACATAGCTGATTTTTTTTTGAGACAGAGTCTCACTCTGTCACCCAGGCTGGAGTAAGTGGTACAATCATGGCTCATTGCAGCCTTGATCTTCTGGCTCAAGCCATCCTCCCATGTCAGCCTCCACCCTGAGCCTCCCTGATAGCTGAAACTACAGGTGTGCATCACCGCGTCCTGCTAATTTTTTTTTTTTTTTGAGATGGAGTTTCGCTCTTGTTACCCGGGCTGGAGTGCAATGGCGCGATCTCGGCTCACCGCAACCTCCGCCTCCTGGGTTCAGGCAATTCTCCTGCCTCAGCCTCCTGAGTAGCTGGGATTACAGGCACGCGCCACCGTGCCCAGCTAATTTTTTGTATTTTTAGTAGAGACGGGGTTTCACCATGTTGACCAGGATGGTCTCGATCTCTTGACCTCGTGATCCACCCGCCTCGGCCTCCCAAAGTGCTGGGATTACAGGCGTGAGCCACTGTGCCTCACAATTTTTGTATTTTTTTTGTAGAGTTGGGGGTTTTGCTACGTTGCCCAGGCTGGCCTCAAACTCATGGGCTCAAGTGATCCTCCCACCTCAGCCTTCTGAGTAGCTGGGATTACAGGTATGAGCCACTGTGCCTGGCTTTGTGTAATTTAAAACCGTTTAAGGGCTGGGTGCAGTGGCTCGAACCTGTAATCCCAGCACTTTGGGAGGCCGAGGTGGGTGGATCACCTGAGATTGGGAGTTCGAGACCAGCCTGGCCAACATGGAGAAAACCTCATCTCTATTAAAAACACAAAATTAGCCGGGCGTGGTGGTGCATGCCTGTAATCCCAGTTACTTGGGAGGCTGAGGCAGGAGAATCTCTTGAGCCTGGGAGGCGGAGGTTTTGGTGAACTGAGATTGTGCCACTGCACTCCAGCCTGGGCAACAAGAGTGAAACTCCGTCTCAAAAATAAATAAGTAAATAAAACCATTTAAAGCAGTAATATGTGCTTAATATATGCTATCATAGAGAAGCTGGAACATGCAGATCAAACATGCACGTGCACACACACGCACACACAGATGTACACACAAATGCATGCATACATGCACACACAGGCGAGTGTGCACAGATGCGCGTATGCGTGCGTGCACGCACGCACACTCAGACACACACACACACACACTCGGGCACCTCAGGGTGCAGCCTCCCGTCTCACCTGATGAAAGGGCGGGAGATGGCCAGCACAGTCCGAATGAACCACGAGGGGTGGACGATGATCAAGGACTTCAGGTTTTTCCGCAATCTGTGTGGGGCAGCAAACGAAGCAAGATGGGCTCCTGGGGTGAGCCCTGGGGAGGGAGGAGTTGGGCGGGCACGGGAGAGCCCAAGCAAGCATTCTGCTCATGCCACACGTGGTCTCCAGGCACCTGTCAGATCCCCGTCCCCATCCAAGACCTGGGGGTCCCGTGGCAGGATAAAGACACACCCTTGGGGTCCCTCAGACCCTAAGGTGGATGAGGTAGGTAGAGACCCTGTGGTGTGGAGGAGGTGAAGCAGGTGGGCGGTTATTTGAGCAGCTGAGATTGTATTTTCACCACCTAGTGCCCAAGGAGGGACCAGCCTGCCTTAGGGCCTCCTGCTAACCTGGGTGCAAGGTTGCATTGCCTGGGTTAATTATTTTCTATTTGTTTTTATTTGAGATGGAGTCTCACTCTGTCACCAGGCTGGAGGGCAGTGACGTGATCTTGGCTCATTCCAACCTCCGCCTCCCGGGTTCAAGGGGTTCTCCTGCCTCAGCCTTCCAAGTAGTTGGGACTACAGGCTTACGCCACCACGCCTGGCTTTTTTTTTTTTTTTTTGCATTTTTAGTAGAGACAGGGTTTCACTGTGATGGCCAGGATAGTCTTGATCTCCTGACCTCGTGATCTGCCTGCCTCGGCCTCCCAAAGTGCTGAGGCGTGAGCCACTGTACCTGGCCTGGCTGGGTCAATTTTAACATCACTCTGTGGCTATTCACGATAACCCAGAGGTGGAAGCAGCCCGTGTCCATAAACGGATGGATGGAATGGACAAACCAAATGTGGCATGTCCATACAATGGAATATTATGCAGCCATGAAAAGGAGGCTGGCTCTGACCCAGGCATCAATGTGGAGGCACCCTGAAGACACCATACTTAGTGAGAAAAGCCAGACGCAAAGCACAAATCCTGTGTGTTTCCAGACCTAGGAGTCCCTCGAGTCATCAGATTCACAGAGGTCGAAAGTGGGATGGGGTGGTGGTGCCAGGGCCCAGGAGAAGGAATAGGAGTGAGCGTTTCATGGGGACAGAGTCTGGCTCTGTCGCCCAGGCGGGAGTGCAGTGCTGTGATCTCAGCTTACTGCCACCTCCTCCCTCTGGGTTCCAGTGATTCTCCTGCCTCAGCTTCCCAAGTATCTGGGATCACAGGCAGGTACCACCGTGCCCGGCCAATTTTTGCATTTTTAAAGTATAGATGGGATTTCACTGTATGTTGGGCAGGCTGGTCTTCGACTCCCAATCTCAGGGGATCTGCCCACCTCATCCTCCCCAAGTGCTGCGATTGCAGGCATGAGCCCCCGCACCCGGCCCCCCGTGTGGTTTTCATGCCCCCACTTGCACTTCCTGAGGCATCCCGCACCTCCGGTCAATCATCTGGTAGCACTTCTTCAGCCAGCCGATGCCAGGCATCCTCCGCCGGGGCGTGGCGCCGTTCAGGTACACGATCATGTAGTCCTCGGCTACCAGGAGCTCCAAGCTGCTGATGACATACCTGCTCACGGGGCACAGAAGGCAGGGACCCAACATGAAGGGGGCCAGTGTCAGGACACCTGTGGTGCCCACCCTGCCTGCCTCCGCCCCTGCCCCACCGGTCCAGGTGTTGTCTCCTGTCAATGGGGGACTGCAGGGGACATTGGGCGTGGATGATTCCCGCACACCCCACACGACTGTCAGTGGGTACCTTCCTGGGGCGGTTAACCTTTTGTTAGAGTCTTTTTTTTTTTTTGGTGGGGGGGATGGAGTTTTGCTCTTGTTGCCCAGGTAGGAGTACAATGGCGCCATCTCAGGTCACCGCAACCTCTGCCTCCCGGGTTCAAGTGATTCTCCTGCCTCAGCCTCCCGAGTAGCTGGGACTACAGGCAGGCACCACCACGCCCAGCTAATTTTGTATTTTTAGTAGAGACGGGGGTTTCAGTCAGGCTGGAATAGAACTCCTGACCTCATGATCCACCCACCTCAGCCTCCCAATGTGCTGACCACCCTCACAAACCCCGTCTCTACTAAAAATACAAAAATTAGCTGGGCCTGGTGGTGCCTGCCTGTAGTCCCATCTACTTGGGAGGCTGAGGCAGGAGAATCGCTTGAGCCTGGGAGGTGCAGGTTGTGGTGAGCCGAGATCGTGCCATTGCACTCCAGCCTGGGCGACAAGAGCAAAACTCTGCCTCAAAAAGAAAAAAAAAACTTTTCCCAGAAGGATTACAGGCGTGAGCCACCACGATCGGCTTTTTTGTTTTTTTTTAAATTTTCAGACAGTCTTGCTCTGTCACCCAGGCTGGAGTGCGGTGACGCCATCTCAGGTCACTGCCACCTCTGCCTCCCAGGTTCAAGTGATTCTCCCACCTCAGCCTCCCGAGTAGCTGGGGCCACAGGCGCCCGAGACTATGCCCGGCTAATTTTTGTATTTTTAGTAGAGACGGGGTTTCACCATGTTGGCCAGGCTGGTCTCAAATTCCTGGGCTCAAGCCACCCTTCCAGCTCAGCCTCCCAAAGTGCTGGGATTGCAGGCGTGAGCCACCGCGCCAGGCATGGGGCTGGGAACGTTACTCATGACGCTGGTAAGAGCTGTCATGACGATGGGCTCTGCCTATCAGCTCTCGGGTGCTGTGTGTACATCTCCTGTACCTGTCATAATAAAACGACACCTGTGTGTCTTTGGGCAGGTGACTCAACCTCTCTGTATTCCCATGCCTGGGTCTACAGGTGTCCCCCACCTCACCCAGCTCATTCTGTATTTTTTGTAGAGATGGGCTTGCGCTATATCGCCAAGTATAAACAGGCTGCTCCCAGACTCCTGGCCTTGAGCCGTCCTCCTGCCCTGGCCCGTCCTGCGGGTCCTTACCCATAGAATGGGAGGCAATGGTATCTACCCCATAGGGTTATGGTCAGGGTGGGGTGTGAGAGCAGACGGGGAGCACTCAGCTATAGATGATAGAGGAACAGAAGGAGGAAGAGGAGAAAGGTAGAGGGAGGACGGAGAAGGAAGAGGAGGAGGAGAGGGAGGAAGGGGAGAAGGAAGAGGAGGAGGAGAGGGAGGAAGGGGAGAAGGAAGAGGAGAGGGAGGAAGGGGAGAAGGAAGAGGAGGAGGAGAGGGAGGAAGGGGAGAAGGAAGAGGAGGAGAGGGAGGAAGGGGAGAAGGAAGAGGAGGAGGAGAGGGAGGAAGGGGAGAAGGAAGAGGAGGAGGAGAGGGAGGAAGGGGAGAAGGAAGAGGAGAGGGAGGAAGGGGAGAAGGAAGAGGAGGAGAGGGAGGAAGGGGAGAAGGAAGAGGAGAAGGAAGAGGAGGAGAGGGAGGAAGGGGAGAAGGAAGAGGAGGAGGAGAGGGAGGAAGAGGAGAAGGAAGAGGAGGAAGGGGAGAAGGAAGAGGAGGGTTAGGAAGGGGAGGAGGGGGAAGGAGGAGGATTGGGAGGAGGAAGGGAAGGGGAGGAAGTGGGGAGGAGGAGGGGGAGGAGGGAGAGAAGGAGGAGAAAGAGGAGGAGGAGGGGGAGGTGGAGAAAGTGGGGAGGGGGAGGCGGAGGAGGAAAGGGAGAACAGGTGGCCCAGAAGGAAGGCCACTGTGACCCTGGGGCCAGCAGGGACAGATCCAGGTCTGCGGCCACCACGCCCTTCCCTGGTGCCAGGCAGGCTTCCCAGAGCCACACACGGTGCAGTCCTTGCAGCCTGGTGCCCCTGTGTCCAGGGAGGCGCCGGGACGGGCGGACACTCACAGGAAGAGGTTCTCCATGATGTAGTGGTAGTCGGGGAGGCCGCTGTCCGGGAGGAAGCAGGCCGCGAAGACGATGATGGCGTTGAGGCCTTCACCGTAGTACCCTGCGGGGGGGCGGCAGCTCAGCAACGTCCGACTCCTCCCCCAGCCCTGAGCCACCTCGCACGTGCCACCCACCACGTCCCGGTGCCCACATGCTCTGCAGGGTGTGGCTTTGAGCCACGGCAGCCAGCGACCCCTTCGGTGGGGAGCGACAGCGACCATCAGGGACCCCCCACCGCCGCCTGCCCGGCCATGCACGCCTCGCCCGCAGCCCATCCACCCCACGCAGGTTGATGGCCTAACATCCACATGCGTGACATGAAGAGTCCAAGATGCAGAGAGGGGCACCCACGAGCCTCCTCCTGGGTCTCACCTCCATGGGTGACCACCTTCATGTAAGGCCGGATCATGTGCAGGTCTATGCGGTGCTCCTGCTCCCCGATGATCACCGTCCGCCACAGGCGCCCGTTGGCGGCGCTGCCGTCCTCCGTCGCGCCGTCCCCAAATAGATCCGCGCTGTCCCCGGGCATGTTCTTGGCGGTGGCCACGGGGGTGTCATCTAGAAGCAGGCCGGGGACAGCCGCATGGACGGCTGAGTGCAGACAGCTCCCGCCCCCCAGCTCCGCCTTCCTTCCCCTTTCCCAGCTCCACGTGTCCTTTGCTTCTCCGTCACCTGTCACCTGGCTGCCCTTCTCCATCACCTGGCTGCCCTTCTCCATCACCTGGCTGCCCTTCTCCGTCACCTGGCTGCCCTGCTGACCCATTTCCTCTCCTACTCCCTCTTCAAGGCCTGGCTCACATGCTGCCTCCTCCTCTGCTACGTTGTTCGATAGCACAATAGGAGGGGTGCCAGGAGGGTCCATCTGCCATTCGCCCCTGCAACTTTTTTTTGAGACAGGGTCTCCGTCTGTCACCCAGGCTGGAACGCTGTGGTGCTGTCTCAGCTCACTGCATCCTTCACCTCCTGGGTTCCAGCAATTCTCCTGCCTTAGCCTCCCAAGTAGCTGAGACTACAGTCATGTGCCACCACACCCGGCTAATTTTTGTATTTTTAGTAGAGACAGAGCTTCACCATGTTGGCCAGGCTGGTCTTGAACTCCTGACCTCAGGTGATCTGCCCGCCTCCCAGAGTACTGGGATTACAGGTGTGAGCCACCATGCCTGGCCTTTTGTGGTCTGTCTTTCTGATTATCTGTGTGTGCAGATAGGGACCAGAACTGTCTTTTTTTTGAGACAGAGTTTCGCTCTTTCACCCAAGCTGCAGTGCAATGGTGCAGTCTCAGCTCACTGCACCCTCTGCCTTCTGGTTTCAAGCAATTCTCCTGCCTCGGCCTCCCGAGTAGCTGGGATTACAGGCACCCGCCACCGTGCCCAGCTAATTTTTGTATTTTTAGTAGAGATGGGGTTTCACCACGTTGGCCAGGCTGGTCTCGAACTCCTGACCTTGTGATCCGCCCGCCTCGGCCTCCCAAAGTGCTGGGATTACAGGCTTGAGCCACCGCGCCCGGCCTGACCGTCTCTTCTTATCACAGCCCTGCCATATCCGCTGCACCTGAATCAGGACGTGCCCGGAAGCAAATGCTCTGAAAGTATTTGTTGCATGCACTGAAGACAGCTCGCCGGGGTCTTGGTCGCCTTTGAGAGTCTGATGAAAACCACGTTCCACAGGAAACTTCACAAGCTCACAAGAAAAATGTGTATCAAATTTCAGGGGCAAGCTCACAGCTGTGATCCCAGCACTTTGGGAGGCCGGGGTGGGTGGATCACTTGAAGCCAGGAATTTGAGACCAGCCTGGGCTACATGGGGAAACCTTGTCTCTACTAAAAATAGAAACATTAGCCAGCTATGGTGGTGCACCCCTGTAATCCTGGCTACTTGGGAGGCTGAGGCGGGAGAATGGCTTGAACCCGGGAGGTGGAGGATGCAGTGAGCCGAGATAGCGCCATTGCACTCCAGCCTGGGCTGTAATCCTGGCTACTTGGGAGGCTGAGGCGGGAGAATGGCTTGAACCCGGGAGGTGGAGGATGCAGTGAACCGAGATAGCGCCATTGCACTCCAGCCTGGGCGACAGAGGGAGACCCTGTCTCAAAAACAAAAAAACCCAGAGGGGTGAATGGCGGATGGACCCTCCTCCTGACACCCCTCCTATTCTGCTGTCAGACAACAGACCTTATTCCTTCTGTCTAATTGTATGTTGGTGCCCATTCACCAACCCCTCTCTCTCTTTTTTTTTAAGACGGGAGTCTCGCTCTGTGGCCCAGGCTGGGACCACTGCAACCTCCAACTCCCGGGTCCTGGTTCAAGTGATTCTCCTGCCTCTGCCCCCTGAGTAGCTGGGATTACAGGCGCCCGCCACCACGCCCGGCTAATTTTGGTGTTTTTAGTAGAGACGGGGTTTCACCATGTTGGCCAGTCTGCTGGAACTCCTCACCTGGTGATCCGCCCGCCTCAGCCTCCCAAAATGATCGCAGGTGTGAGCCACCGCGCCTGGCCTTACCCTCTCTCTCTCTTTTTTTTTAACTTTGATTTTTGACACAGGGTCTCACTCTGGTGTCCATGTTGGATGCAGTGGTGCAAAATCACATCGCACGGCAGCCTTGACCTCCTGCGCTCAAGGCTAGACAGCTTAGAGCCCCTGCCCCGCCTGTGACTCTCTGAGCCTTTGAGAATCCAGAGGTGGAAAGCCAGGGGGGCGGGGCAGGGGGGTCCAGCAGGTGCCACAGGGACCCTGCCCATTACCTTCCCACTCCAGTTCATTGCCATTCCCCAGGAACTCCAGGGAGTCGGTCTCATCGGGGGTCTCGATGTCATCCACGTTAATATCCAGGTCATCGGGGGTGTCCAAGAAGTCATCGGACAGCAGGGACCCCTCGCTCTGATCCAGGGAAATGTTGATCTCCGGCGCCACCAGCGTCTTCTTCTTACGATGCGCTCCGCTGAAGTTTAGAGTGCTGGGAGGTGCTGCAGGGAGACGGGAGAGCAGAGACAAGCCTCGCTTTCTCTCTTTTACCGCCTCCCCATGTTCCTACCTGGCGGAAGCTGTTTTACCGCACAGGAAGAGGGAGGAGGGGGCAGGCTCCCTCCTGTGTGCGTGCCATGGTCCGGGGCTGGGAAGCAGACATCAGCTCCCGACAGCGGCCAATGTTATAACCGCTGTCCTGTGGGTGGGGGCGGGGCACCTGCCTCAGAGATTAAGGCTGGATGCTTGGACGTTGGGTAGACCTGGGTTCAAAGCTTGGCTTTGGGCTGGGTGCGGTGGCTCAGGCCTGTCATCCCAGCACTTTGGGAGGCCGAGGCTGGCAGATCACCTGAGGTCAGGAGTTTGAGACCAGCCTGGCCAACATGTCAAAACACCATTTCTACTAAAAATACAAAAATGAGCCGGGTGTGGTGGCGCGTGCCTGTAATCCCAGCTACTCAGGTGGCTGAGGCAGGAGAACAGCTTGAACCCGGGAGGCAGAGGTCGCAGTGAGCAGAAATCCAGCCACTGCACTCCAGCCTGGGCAACAAGAGCAAAACTCTGGCTGGGCCCAGTGGTTTATGTCTGTAATCCCCGTACTTTGGGAGGCTGAGGCAGGTGGATCACGAGGTCAGGAGTTCGAGACCAGCCAGACCCATGTGGTGAAACCCTGTCTCTACTAAAAATACAAAAATTAGCCAGGCATGGTGGTGGGCACCTGTAATCCCAGCTACTCGGGAGGCTGAGGCAGGAGAATGGCTTGAACCTGGGAAGTGTAGGTTGCAGTGAGCCGAGATCGTGCCACTGCACTCCAGCCTGGGCTACAGAGCAAGATTCCGTCAAAAAAAAAAAAAAAAAGCAAAACTCCATCTCAAAACATGAGTAAATAAATACATAAGCAAGAAGAGACCATCTCCTGCGCAGACAAATTGTGAAGGCACTGCGTCCTCTTCCAGCCTCTCCCTGACTCCCACCCTCCTGTCTCCACTCGTGACGGTCCTGTGAGGACATCAGGCCACCTGGAGAACGTAGGATCCGGGAGCATCTGCTATTTTAGAGTTCTCCAGGGAAACAAATCCAATAGAGGTGTGTGGTATGTGTGTCTGTGTGTGTGTGTGTGTGTGTGTCTGTGTGTATGTATTTTTTCTGTACATATGGAAGAAAAAGGAAGAAATGTATTTTAAGGAATTAGCTCACGTGATCACAGAGACTGACAAGATCTAAATCTGCAGGGCGGGCCAGCGGGTGGGATGCCGAGGGAAGGGCTGATGTTGCCTGTGTGTCCGCAGGCAGAATTGTCTCTGCCTGGGGGAACCTCGGTCTTCTTCTCTTAAAACCTTCAACTGATTAGATGAGGCCCACCCACATCACAGACAGCTGCCTGCTTGAAGTCCACAAAATTTTTTTATTTTTATGTTTATTTTTTGGTGGAATCTCACTCTGTCACCCAGGCTGGAGTGCAGTGGTGCAATCTCGGCCCACCGCAACCTCCGCCTTCTGGGCTCAAGCAATTCTCCTGCCTCAGCCTCCCAAGTAGCTGGGATTACAGGCATGTGCCATCATTCCCAGCTAATTTTTTTGTATTTTTAGTAGAGATGGGGTTTCACCGTGTTAGCCAGGATGGTCTCGGTCTCCTGACCTCGTGATCCGCCCGCCTCGGCCTCCCTAAGTGCTGGGATTACAGGCGTGAGCCACCGCGCCGGGCCAGCCGCTGACATTTCTAGTTATAGCCCCAGGCAGGGCTGAAACCCATAAACAGTGGGCCTGTTTCTGCCCTTCTGTGGACAGGGAAACTTACAGGATGTGTCTCCCACTGGGCTGCCAAGCAGTTCCACCCCGGTCTCTTCTGGGAGCAGCCTGCGGAGCCATCCAGGGCATCAGTCGCCGGGCACCGGAGATTCAGCCAGAGGAGTGTGGAATGACCCAGACAGGTCCGGCCAGGCCAGTCAGTCAAGACAGTAACAAAAGGAAAACACGTTTAGTTCCGGGGACTCACTGGACCCACATATCTACATTTGTTTTGGAGACAGGACTTCAGTCTGTCATCCAGGCTGGAGTGCAGTGTGGTGATCATGTAACCCCCCCCCCGCCTCCTGGACGAGAGATCCTCCTGCCTCAGCCTCCTGGGTAGCTGGGACTGCAGGTGCACACCACCATGGCTGGCTAATTTTTGTAGTTTTTTGTAGAGATGGGGTCTCGCTATGTTGCCCTGGCTGCTCTTGAACTCCTGGGGTCAAGTGTCTCCCCATCTTGGCCTCCCAAAGTGCTGGGATTACAGGCGTGAGCCACCACGCTCTATATGTTTTTTCTCTTTTTTTTGGGGGTGGGGGACGGAGTCTCGCTCTGTTGCTCAGGCTTGTGTGAAGTGGTGCGATCTTGGCTCAGTGCAACCTCTGCCTCCCAGGTTCAAGCAATTCTCCTGCCTCCGCCTCCCAAGTAGCTGGGATTGCAGGCGCACACCACCACGCCTGGCTAATTTTAGTAGAGACAGGGTTTCACCGTGTTGGCCAAGCTGGTCTTGAACTCCTGAGCTCATGCAATCCACCCCCCTCGGCCTCCCAAAGTGCTGGGATTACAGGCGTGAGCCACCACGCCCCGCCGGTTTTCTCTTTAACAGAGGAAAGAAATCACAATGCATGAGGGCTGAGGGCTCCTTTCAGAGCATAAAATTAACATTGAGCCTTGCGGAGTTTTTTTGAGACAGAGTTTCGCTCTTGTTACCCAGGCTGGAGTGCAATGGCGCGATCTCGGCTCACCACAACCTCCGCCTCCCGGGTTCAGGCAATTCTCCTGCCTCAGCCTCCTGAGTAGCTGGGATTACAGGGACACACCAGCATGCCCAGCTAATTTTTTGCATTTTTAGTAGAGACGGGGTTTCACCATGTTGACCAGGATGGTCTCGATCTCTTGACCTCGTGATCCACCCGCCTCGGCCTCCCAAAGTGCTGGGATTACAGGCTTGAGCCACTGCACCCGGCCGAGTTTTTGACTCTTAAATGCAGCAAGAAGTATTTTTAAAAAATTAAAAATTAAATAAATAAACCGACCGGGCGTGGTGGCTCACGTCTGTAATCCCAGCACTTTGGGAGGCTGAGGTGCGCGGTTCATGAGATAAGGAGTTTGAGACCAGCCTGGCCAACACGGCGAAACCCCATCTCTACTAAGAATACAAAAATTAGCTGGGTGTGGCGGCGGGCACCTGTAATCCCAGCTACACAGGAGGCCGAGGCAGGGGAATCGCTTGAACCTGGGGGCGGAGGCTGCAGTGAGCCGAGACTGTGTCATTGTACCCCAGCCTGGGCAACAGAGCAAGACTCTATCTCAAATAAAACAAAATAAAAAAAGAAAAAATTAAATAACCCGAGTCAGCCAGAAGAGATCTCTACACCAATGCTGGAACAGTTCGTGCAACCAAATAAATAAGGAAATATTGAATTATAACCCAAGATACAAAATAAATGTCTGTGACTCTGTATAGATACAAATGTCAGAACAGATAAACAGGAGAGAAGAGACACATTTTTTGGTGCAGAAGAATTGCAAATAATTTATGTACATATCTGCCCTCAAGGAAAAGAAGGATAACTGGATAACTCTCTGTAGGCCGTGTGGAGTGAGGTCATTCTAAAAAATAGAGGATGGAGGGCCGGGCGCAGTGGCTTAAGCCTGTAATCCCAGCACTTTGGGAGGCCGAGGCAGGTGCATCACGAGGTCAAGAGATCGAGACCAGCCTGGTCAACACGGTGAAACCCCGTCTCTACTAAAAATACAAAAAATTAGCTGGGCATGGTGGCACGTGCCTGTAATCCCAGCTACTTGGGAGGCTGAGGTAGGAGAATTGCCTGAACCCAGGAGGCGGAGGTTGCGGTGAGCCGAGATCACGCCATTGCACTCCAGCCTGGGTGACAAGAGCGAAACTCTGTCTCAAAAAAAAAAAAAAAAAAAAGAGAAAAGAAAAGAGGACATTAGGAAAAACTAGGAAAATCTAAAACAGCGTGGACTTTGGTAACTAATAATGTGTCAATACCGATTAATTAATGGGGACATATAAAATATACACAACTAATACCAGATGTTAATTTTGGGAGAAATTAGGGACCGAGTCTACAGGAATTCTCCATGCTAACTTTGCAACTTTTCCTTTCCTTTTTTTTTTTTTTTGAGACAGAGCCTCACTCTGTTACCCAGGCTGGAGTGCAATGGCGCGATCTCGGCTCACTGAAACCTCCGCCTCCCGGGTTCAAGCGATTCTCATGTCTTAGCCTCCCGAGTAGCTGAGACTACAGCCATGCACCACCACGGCTGGCTAATTTTTACATTTTTAGTAGATGGGGTTTTGCCATGTTGGCCAGGCTCGTCTCGAACTCCCGGCCTCATGTGATCCACCCTCCTCATCCTCCCAAAGTGCTGGGATTACAGGTGAGAGCCACGGCGCCGAGCCCCGGACCTCTTGAAGCCACAGCTTGTGCTGCCCAAGTTTAATCCGGGTGTTCTGTGTCCTTGGCTGCCCGAGGAAATATTCCATTCCGGGCAGAAGGTTTTGCATGGGGCTGCGAGAGGTCCCAGCGACAGGGCGTGCTGACTCAGGACTGCCTGGCTGCAGCCCCATTCACGTGTGTGACGCGGCACTCCTGGCTCAGCTGCAAGGCAAGCTGTTTAGACAGGAAGGGTGGTGGAGCGCATCTTCCTTTCCTTTAAAAAAATGACTTACTGGCCGGGTGCCGTAGCTCATGCCTGTAATCCCAGCACTTTGGGAGGCCTAGGCGGGCAAATCACCTGAGGTCAGGAGTTCGATACCAGCCTGGCTAACATGGCGAAACCCCGTCTCTACTAAAAAAATACAAAAAGCAGCTGGGCGTGGTGGTGCGTGCCTGTAATCCCAGCTACCTGGGAGGCCGAGGCAGGAGAATTGCTTGAACCCGGGAGGCTGAAGCTGCAGTGAGCTGAGATTGTGCCCCTGCACTCCAGCCTGGGCAACAGAGTGAGTCTCTGTCTCAAAAAAAAAAAAAGAGATTTATTCCCTCATTTCTGTTCCACTTAGGGCACGAGTCGGTAGCCTTTTGGGGGCAGAATCTATGCTTTTTCACTCTCTCTTTCCCTCCCTCTCTCTTTTCTTTATTCACCCATTCATCAAATGTTCTTTGAGTAACCACTGTGTCTTCAGTGCATCTACGGGGCTTGGAGGTAAAGGATAAATCACATGTCACCCTCCTATGCACAGCAAAGATCAAAATGGGGTGGATGTCCAAAGAAAACCCATACTTCAATGTTCATAGCAGCGTAATTCATAAACGCCAGAAAGTGGAAACAGACAGATGACCGGATCAACACAGGTGGTATATCCATTCAGTGGAATACTATTCAGCCCTGAAAAGGAACGAGGTTCTGACACAGGCCACAGTGTGGATGCACCTTGAGGACATCATGTTCAGGGAGAGACACCAGACACAAAAGGCCACATAGCACTCCAGCCTAGGCAAGAGTGACACTCTGATCAAAAAAATAAAAAAAAGAAATGTCTTGAATAGGTAAATGCTACGTGGGAAGTAGATACGGGGATTGGCGGGGAGGATGAAGATGGGGGTTGACTTAATGGAATAGGATTTTCTCTCAGGGTGATGAAAATGTCTTCAAATTAGATAGAGGTGGGGTTGTGTAACATGAATGGACTCACTGCCACCATATGGTGCACTTTGAAACAATAAATTCAAGTTTTGTGAATTTCCCCTCAATTTTTATGTTATTTTACGTTTTCTCGCTGTCACCCAGGCTGGAGTGCAGTGGCACAATCTTGGCTCACTGCAACGTCCGCCTCCCAGGTTCAAGCAGTTCTTCTGCCTCAGCCTCCCAAGTAGCTGGGATTACAGGCACCTGCCACCACGCCCAGCTAATTTTTGTATTTTTAGTAGAGACAGGGTTTCACCACGTTGGCCAGGCTGCTCTTGAACTCCTGACCTCAGGGGATCCACCTGCCTCTGCCTCCCAAAGTGCTGGGATTACAGGTGTGAGCCACCGTACCTGGCCTCACCTCATTTTTGTTTTTTTTTTTTTTTGAGATGGAGTTTTGGTCTTGTTGCCCAGGCTGGAGTGCAGTGTTGCAATCTCAGCTCACCACAATCTCCGCTTCCTGGGTTCAAGCAATTCTGCCTCAGCTTCCCGAGTAGCTGGGACAGCAGGTGCGTCATCACGCCCAGCTAATTTTTGTATTTTAGTAGAGACGGGGTTTCACCATGTTGACCAGGATGGTCTCGATATCTTGACCTCATGATCCGCCCACCTTGGCTTCCCAATGTGCTGGGATTACAGGCGTGAGCCACCATGCCCAGCCTTTTTTTTTTTAAAGCAAGCTTTGGCCAGGCACAAGGTGGCCCACGGCTATAATCCCAGCACTTTGGAAAGCTGACGTGGGAGGGTCCCTTGAGCCCAGGAGTTTGAGATCGGCCTGGGCAACACAGTGAGACTCCATTTCTACAAAAAATAAAACACCAGGCATGCTGGCATGTGCCTGCAGTCCCAGCTATTCGGAGGCCAAGGTGGGAGGATCTGTTGAGCCCAGGAGGTGAGGGCTGCAGTGAGCTGTGATGGAGCCACTGCACTCCAGCCTGGGAGACAAAGGAACGAAGAATGAACTCACATGCCCATTCACGAGGTTGATGCAAACCAGTGCTGCAGAATTGCAGGCTGATGGCTGACGCGCCAAGCCTGGTTGTGTCCTGCCCACACAGCGTTTAAAACACATTTCCCATTTGCTGTCAAGGAAGAGATGTGATGCAAAAACTCTCGAGTTCTGGCTGGGCTCGGGGGCTCGCCCTGTAATCCCAGCACTTTGGGAGGCCTCGGCGGGCAGATCACCAGAG